TTTGTCGTTTGACGCTTTTCTTAGAAAGGAAGAAGAATCCATTTCTCTGTTTTCCTCCATTTTGTACAATGGTTATAACCACTTGGTGTTTGTACTTAGATACTTTTAATACTTTTGTTTTTTTACGTTTTACCTTCTATTGTCTGGCTAGCCAAACGGCGAACTGCAATAGAATTTGCTGTTTTGCCAAACTTGACGGAAACAGTAATAAACAAATTAGTGACAAATTTTGTTGGGCATGTGTAGTATTTTGAAATAGAAAAAAATCCGGCAACATTGCGAAATGATGGATGTGGAGAGGCGTGATTATTCAGAGGCATGATTCTATTGGTTAGAGCCTAAGGTGAGAGCCTGAACGACAGCACAGTGGCGTGGTTATTGGCGAAACTTACCGGTGCAAAGTTGGCACCCGAAAATCAAGCACACCTGATTTTCTCAGGAGTTCTGAGTACTTTTAGGATAGTTCTAGAGTTCTGAGAGGGGTGCAACAATAGTTCTCATGCCTAAGTATTTTTTTTTTTAAAAACAAAAAAAGGGGTGCTAACTTCGCGCCGCACCCCTTTTTGATAGTGCAACAGTTCTCCAGTGGTTTTTCGGTTCTAAGGGCATAGTTCTAGAGTTCCTGATAGAAATTATGAATAGTTCTGCAAAAATAAAGCTAATATAACGGAAAAAGTTTTCAGGCGCGCAGGTCGCGCGGCGCGCCCCAGCCGTATTGTGGAACATAGCATCCCGGTACATCTGACATTACGCGATACATTTGAAGGCTCGTTGAGATGTATGGAGGCTGCTGGGGTCAGAACTATGGGTTAGCACTCCATAGTTCTGGTGTCTACTATTACTCTATTATGGATAAATTTCAAAATTAACTGGGGTGCTGTGAAATACACCGGGTTTCCACGCGTATCGGCGCTAAATCGGCATACTGTAGCCTGTTGGGGCCAGAACTATGTGTTATTCCTGCAGCACTCCATAGTTCTGGTGTCTACTATCAATCTACTATGGATAAATTTCAAAATTAACTGGGGTGCTGTGAAATACACCGGGTTTCCATGCGCATCCACGCTAAATTAGCATACTGGAGGCTGCTGGGGCCAGAACTATGGGTTATTTTTGCAGCACTCCATAGTTCTGGTGTCTACTATTATTCTACTATGGATAAATTTCAAAATTAACTGGGGTGCTGTTAAATACACCGCGTTTTCACGCGCATCGGCGCTAAATCGGCATACTGTAGCCTGTTGGGGCCAGAACTATGGGTTATTTCAGCAGCACTCCATAGTTCTGATGTCTACTATTATTCTACTATGGATGAATTTCAAAATTAACTGGGGTGCTGTTAAATACCCCGCGTTTTCACGCGCATCGGCGCTAAATCGGCATACTGTAGCCTGTTGGGGCCAGAACTATGGGTTATTTCAGCAGCACTCCATAGTTCTGATGTCTACTATTATTCTACTATGGATGAATTTAAAAATTAACTGGGGTGCTGTTAAATACACCGCGTTTTCACGCGCATCGGCGCTAAATCGGCATACTGTAGCCTGTTGGGGCCAGAACTATGGGTTATTTCAGCAGCACTCCATAGTTCTGATGTCTACTATTATTCTACTATGGATAAATTTCAAAATTAACTGGGGTGCTGTTAAATACACCGCGTTTTCACGCGCATCGGCGCTAAATCGGCATACTGGAGCATGCTAGGGCCAGAACTATAGGCTATTTCAGCAGCACTCCATAGTTCTGGTGTCTACTATTAATCTACTATGGATAAATTTTAAAATTAACTGGGGTGCTGTTAAATACACCGCGTTTTCACGCGCATCGGCGCTAAATCGGCATACTGGAGCATGCTAGGGCCAGAACTATAGGCTATTTCAGCAGCACTCCATAGTTCTGGTGTCTACTATTAATCTACTATGGATAAATTTTAAAATTAACTGGGGTGCTGTTAAATACACCGCGTTTTCACGCGCATCGGCGCTAAATCGGCATACTGGAGCATGCTAGGGCCAGAACTATAGGCTATTTCAGCAGCACTCCATAGTTCTGATGTCCACTATTATTGTACTATGGATGAATTTCAAAATTAACGGGGGTGCTGTTAAATACACCGCGTTTTCACGCGCATCGGCGCTAAATCGGCATACTGTAGCCTGTTGGGGCCAGAACTATGGGTTATTTCTGCAGCACTCCATAGTTCTGGTGTCTACTTTTAATCTACTATGGATAAATTTCGAAATTAACTGGGGTGCTATTAAAGAAAGTCACGAGAATTCGAAAGATTTATTTCACCACTTTGAATTTCGAGAGAAACATTTATTATATGCTCATTTTTATAAATTCTGTCCAAAAAGATTTTGTCCAACACGAAGTACCCCATTTCTCTATCAATGTCTATAATGTCGAGTTTTTTCATAAGTCAAAATTTCGAATTTAAATTTAATTCGCGCATTCCTTCTACTGGTTGTGGCTGCCGAGCAAAAAATGGCGCCCGGCCTGCAGTGATAGATGGAGTGATGCCGACTCATGCTTTGTGCGCGCGAGTTCTCACCGCATGCCCCTCACTACCCCTGTGGGTGTTTTTTTTCTCTCTCTTTTGCTCACGTTTTTTCATCTTCGCGCGCCCGGCGGCTCGGCTCGCCCTGCACGATTTTTGGCCACGGCGCCTATGCTCTACGTTCACCACGTTCACCCGTGAACACCCTCGGTCGCTCGCCGGTACGGACTCGTCTGTGTAGAAAACTAACCCAAACTAACCCATAGTTCTGGCCCCAGCAGCCTCCAGTCTGCTAATTTAGCGTGGATGCGCGTGGAAACGCGGTGTATTTCACAGCACCCCAGTTAATTTTGAAATTTATCCATAGTAGATTAATAGTAGACACCAGAACTATGGAGTGCTGCAGAAATAACACATAGTTCTGGCCCCAGCAGCCTCCAGTATGCCAATTTAGCGTGGATGCGCGTGGAAACCCGGTGTATTTCACAGCACCCCAGTTAATTTTGAAATTTATCCATAGTAGATTAATAGTAGACACCAGAACTATGGAGTGCTGCAGAAATAACACATAGTTCTGGCCCCAGCAGCCTCCAGTATGCCAATTTAGCGTGGATGCGCGTGGAAACCCGGTGTATTTCACAGCACCCCAGTTAATTTTGAAATTTATCCATAGTAGATTAATAGTAGACACCAGAACTATGGAGTGCTGCAGAAATAACACATAGTTCTGGCCCCAGCAGCCTCCAGTATGCTAATTTAGCGTGGATGCGCGTGGAAACCCGGTGTATTTCACAGCACCCCAGTTAATTTTGAAATTTATCCATAGTAGAGTAATAGTAGACACCAGAACTATGGAGTGCTGCAGAAATAACCCATAGTTCTGGCCCCAGCAGCCTCCAGCTTGCTAATTTAGCGTGGATGCGCGTGGAAACCCGGTGTATTTCACAGCACCCCAGTTAATTTTGAAATTTATCCATAGTAGATTAATAGTAGACACCAGAACTATGGAGTGCTGCAGAAATAACACATAGTTCTGGCCCCAGCAGCCTCCAGTCTGCTAATTTAGCGTGGATGCGCGTGGAAACGCGGTGTATTTCACAGCACCCCAGTTAATTTTGAAATTTATCCATAGTAGATTAATAGTAGACACCAGAACTATGGGGTGCTGCAGAAATAACACATAGTTCTGGCCCCAGTAGCCTCCAGTATGCCAATTTAGCGTGGATGCGCGTGGAAACCCGGTGTATTTCACAGCACCCCAGTTAATTTTGAAATTTATCCATAGTAGATTAATAGTAGACACCAGAACTATGGAGTGCTGCAGAAATAACACATAGTTCTGGCCCCAGCAGCCTCCAGTATGCTAATTTAGCGTGGATGCGCGTGGAAACCCGGTGTATTTCACAGCACCCCAGTTAATTTTGAAATTTATCCATAGTAGATTAATAGTAGACACCAGAACTATGGAGTGCTGCAGAAATAACACATAGTTCTGGCCCCAGCAGCCTCCAGTATGCTAATTTAGCGTGGATGCGCGTGGAAACCCGGTGTATTTCACAGCACCCCAGTTAATTTTGAAATTTATCCATAGTAGAGTAATAGTAGACACCAGAACTATGGAGTGCTAACCCATAGTTCTGACCCCAGCAGCCTCCATACATCTCAACGAGCCTTCAAATGTATCGCGTAATGTCTGATGTACCGGGATGCTATGTCCCACAATACGGCTGGGGCGCGCCGCGCGACCTGCGCGCCTGAAAACTTTTTCCGTTATATTAGCTTTATTTTTGCAGAACTATTCATAATTTCTATCAGGAACTCTAGAACTATACCCTTAGAACCGAAAAATCACTCGAGAACTGTTGCACTATCAAAAAGGGGTGCGGCGCGAAGTTAGCACCCCTTTTTTTGTTTAAAAAAAAAAAAAATACTTAGGCATGAGAACTATTGTTGCACCCCTCTCAGAACTATAGAACTATCCTAAAAGTACTCAGAACTCCTGAGAAAATCAGGTGTGCTTGATTTTCGGGTGCCAACTTTGCATAGGTGCGAAACTTTAAAAAAAGTTCTAATAATTCTATTGGTTCATTTTTTTGGAGTTTTCGGTACCACTGAACCCAAAGACATGGCTGTCATCAAGAGGTGTCAGTGAATATTCTTAGGTCACGCTTCACTTTTCTTCCCCCTTTCGTCTCTATCAACTTACCACTTGCCAGGCTATAGTTTATAGTTATACTTTCGTTCTCTATTGTTATCAGCTAATTTATGTGCGAATAAATTAGATATTAGTTAATTCACTGCGCGTTTAATTTACTCACCTAATTAAGGGTCTGATTGGTCTAAACCATCGGAGCTTCATATTATGTGAATTACTTTCAAATACTTTAAAATTAAAAATTGCCACCGCTTGCTTCTAGCTTTTTATTTTTCTAGTTATCTACTCTATTTATTTCAAAAATACCAATTAACCAATAATAATATTTGTATTTATTTTCAGATCATGGAAGATGCCCACGTCGATGCCGTAATGATCCTAGGCGAAATTTTTCGCTCAGATGAACCGTACGATTTCGCCCATCAAGATATGACTTATAGAATCCAGAACCTCGCTCAAGTCATGCTGGTTCACAGACTGTGTCCTCCTCCAGAAGAAGTTTATTCTCTCCACAGAAAATTGTCTGGAGTATTTTTGCTTTTATCCAAACTGAAAGTGAAAGTTAGTTGCAGGGATAAATTTTTGAAGTTGTATGACGAATATGTGAGATTGAACCCACCTCAGGCTTAATTTAATTCTAATTTGTTTACTAATGAATTTATAGTAGCTTAGTAGTTTTGGAAGTGGCTACATTTTTTTTAAAATATTAAAATTACTTATTAAGTTGTTATTTTAATAAAGGTTATTTGGCTGGTTGATTTTGCTTATTTTCCTGCTGGTGTATACCTATTGCCTATAATTGGGTAGTATACATACAAGTGATTTTTAATTACTGCGTAATGATATACTCGACGTATCGTATTATTTAGTGTAAACAATTGCTTTGTAAAAACCGCAATACACTGGAATTCTGTTTCTTAAATTTCCTTTTAGCCCCGCCCCTACGAGAAAATAAAAGTTCGTGACGTAGTTAGTTTTCCCAATCTGGCAACACATCACCATATTGCGATGCGCGGACATAGTTGCCAAAAGTAGAAAAAAAAATTACTAGCGTACTGTCAACATGAAAAACAAAAGTTACTGAATAAATTATATTTAAAATTAGAATTTGCCGCCTATTACGAATGTTTTTGAAAAGAAATTAAAGAAAAGCCATCAATTTTTTAGCTTGTATTGGGCAGAATAGAAATAATAGAATATCTACCTATTCACTTTCATCGATCAGAGAGAGAAAGTAAACAAACAAAAAGGATAGCGAGGATCAATCATTTTAGTTACTTTTGTTTTTAATGTTGACAGTCCGCTAGTAATTTTTGTTTTCTTCTTTTGGCAACTATTTTCGCGCACCGCAATATGGCGTCCAAACAAAAGGTCAATTTGCACTAATGAACTATAACCAAAAATTGGAATGCTCACACATATTGACGAACGTGAAGCCTAGTGCCGTTGCTGCGGAGGGGATACCTGTTTTTGTCGCACTCATTATGTTAAATGGCGGAAATTGTTTCCAATACGTATTCCAATTGATGAAACCTGTGAAGGTAAATATGACAAAACTTTCCAAAACGTCATATGTCAGCGAGCAACAGAAAAAAACAACATTCCCCTTTGTGGCATCTATCTTTCATGGCTAAATTTTTTTGGCAATGCATTCCAGTTTTTAACTATAGTTCATTGATTTGCACTGACATTGACTGTCAAAAACGAAACGTCAAATTTACTACATCAAACAACGTATATCCTGTTCACAATCCGATGTCCACAGGTGCTGGTAAATTTATCACCTTTCCCTATCAAATAGCATTGAAAGGTGATAAATTTTACCGGTACCAGTGGACATCGGATTGTGAACGGATATTAATTTTTTTGGTTGACAAATGACGTTTACTTAATTGATTATCTGTCAAGGCTAACCGACCGGGGAGGGTTTTCAACCGATTGACCAGTCAGTAATTTTAACAGATGAGCCACACATTTCATGTCATTCAAAACCATTTGGTTGACAAATGACGTTTACTTAATTGATTTTCTGTCAAGGCTAACCGACCGGTTAAACGCTTGAAATTCTCCAATGTCACATATCACACGACACCACACGTCGTTGAACTGTTGGAGTGCGTTCGAAAAGGGTTTAAATTTTACCCAAGGGTGAGAGTGGGTATATGGTCACGTGGTCAGAAGAGTAAATTTTTTCTGGTGTGTTTTCGGACGCACTGATATATAATTATACCCTAACATATAAAAATATAATTAATATTTAGGCCCAGTGTTCTGTGCATTTCATTTATCAGTCCGTACCTATTTTATCAACTTCCGAGAAACGGAAAATAAAATTAATAATTCCCACTAGCAGGGACCCGGACCGAAATGAAATATCGGTTCCGTTCCGGTTCCGGTCCACAGCGTCATGACGAATATCGGTTCCGTTACGGTTTCGGTTCTAAGAGAAATATTTCGGTTCGGTTCGGACCAATAATTTCGGTTTTAACGGTTCATACCGGTATAGTTTTTCACAAATATCTAATGGCCATTTGCACTGACCATTTCAAGAAGCATCCCTTAAAACGGTCATTACAGAAAAATTTATGTTTCTATAATTTGTGGTTTATTTTTTTTTGGATTTCTCTGCCTATCTGCAACGACTTTAGTAATCATAATAATTACTATTAATAAAATAAATTTTTATGTTTTCGATCAGTGATGACGTAACAGCGTGTCGTTTCTCGCCTTGACGTACCCACATAACAGTGAAGGAACATTCATATTCTCAGAATATTCCCTCAAAGTGCTTTTTGGAATGTTCTTTTGGGAATGTTCAATGAATATTCTAAGCTAAGATTGTTTCGATTGAAATATTCATTTTTGAACGTTCTATTTATGTACTTGGAATGTTGCTTCTATGCACCTACCTGAAAGATTGTGCTAAGAACCTACTTTATATAACATTATATCAGGGGCGCAACTAGCTTGTTGGTTTTGGGGGGGCTTGAGCCCCGGGTCTCTATAAGTCGATTTGGTGACAGTATAGTAGGATAAACGTAGCTGCATAACATAGGTGGGGGTGCAAAAAATTAGCAACAAGCTGATTTCAGCGAAAATGTTTAGTAATTGGCCTCCTATTTAACCTCCCAAAAGTCCCATTCAATCCTAGGGGTGGAAGGTTAAAAAAAATGGCCGCCTTCTTGGATTTTTTTGTTTTTTTTCACATATCTCAGTTTCTATTAGTTTTTTCAAGAAAACTCAAGAAACCTTTTTTGTGAAGAATTTAATTCTCTATAAAAAGTGTCTCTACGTTTTTTTTGTAACATGAAGGATAACGGAGATATAGTTTTTTTTAGAATTTGATTTATAAATTTTTCAATTTGAGCGCAACAAAACCCTCATGGGTGACATACCCATAAGGGTTTTGTTGAAGATCCAAAAAGCGATCCACCAAAATAAGTAGTATATTCTCTCCGTATAAATTGCAAGTTTTTATTGGTCTATATTGGTCATATTGATCATGTGTGAAGTCATTTTGTTTGTGAAATTGTGATTTTTTTAACCTTATAAAAATTGTTCTGGACTTCATACTTGGTGAGCCAACAAATCTAGTTTTATTATTGGGACTCAAATAGGAATAGAAAAAAAAAGATAAATTGTGTTATCGAGGATGATGTAGCAAAATTAGATAGAGGGTTTTCTCCTATTCCTGTCAATGGCTAGCTCACTATGTATGGTATTAAAAACGAAATGGGCTGGAAGGTACCTGCAAAATTATTCTGGATTCTAATAAAGAACTTGTTGCATTCATATCCAAGTCCTATACACGCCTGGCAAGTAAACATCTTGCATATCAATTTTAATGCGATAGAATGAAATGTCTAAAGAAAGTCTTAGGTTGAATAGAGAATGAAAACGATTTCCCCTGTTCCACCTCTAGCATTCCCAGTGCTTTTTGCTGGAGGTGGAACAGGGGAAATCGTTTTCGCTCTCTATTTAACCTTAGACTTTTTTTAAACATTTCGAAAGGGATAAAAATAAAGAAATGTTTGAAATATTTACTATAAAAAGCTCTGTATCTCTGTTATCCTTTATGTTACCAAAAAAAGGTATTAACACTTTTTATAGAAATTTAAATTCACCACAAAAAAGGTTATTTGAGTTTTCTTGAAAAAACTAATAGAAACTGAGATATTTGAAAAAAACAACAAAATTCAAGATGGCGGCTATTTTTTTCAACCTTCCACCCCTAGGACTGAATGGGACTTTTGGGAGGTTAAATAAGAGGTCACTTACTAAACATTCCCGCTGGAATCAGCTTGTTGCTAATTTGTTGCACCCTGACCACCCAGATTGACTCAGCTAGTATATGATGTTTTTCAAAACTTACTACAGTACAGTGCGTATTTCACAAATGCCTGAATTTGACGGAAATACTCTGCTAAAAACTTTGTTATAATCTACGTTCTTAGTTGAAAAAAAAAAAAAAAAAACAAAGTTATAAAAGACATTTTTATGTACAGGGTGACCCATTTATTTTGTCCTTTCTCGATATATGGGAATTTCTCGGGAAATCTAGATATCTTATGACAAAAAGTATTACTTATACAAAAGTTTTAGGTTTTAAATTATTAATTTGATTTTTTGTATGTTTCCCTTTGGTCAAAGTCCGACTTTAAAATATTTATTTTCAACGTCTAACATAGACTTTGGTATAACGTTTATACAGTTATCTAAAAATTGGCCGTTCTCCGGAGATAACCGTAAATAAATCCGAAACCGTGCATAACAACCTTATCAAACTAAACAGGGTGATTTACGTAGCCCATGCATTAGCTTACAGATAGATTAGATGGTATTTGTACTAATCCACCTGCAAACTGCACAATTTCTAATGCACGGGCTACGTGAATCACGGTGTATATATTTATATTTGTCTCTGCAAGCGCTATCAAAAAATATGAAAATATACTGGGTGTTCTATTACAAGAAAAAAATCTGATGTGTGACACTTTTTTGACACCCCCTGTATATGCGCAAATACAAAAAACAAATAAATGATTTAAGTCCTACAAGTTTTTGCCATAAAATATCTAGATTTCCATATACCGAGATAGGACAAAATAAACGGGCCACCCTGTACATACATACAATATGCAAGTAAAAATATATTGAGTTTAAAACTTCTCAAACTACTTAAATGGGTACTAAAAACAACTTAAAAACTGAAAGAAGTTCTGTCAAATTAAATTCCTCCTAAGTGCACAAGCAGACACGGACCAGCAGACGAAAGGGTTAAAAAACTGTTGTCACTTTAAGCTTCGTGTATTTGATGCTCCTATATAGCAGGTGCTTGAGAGGGCAGGGGAGAGCGAAACTCTAATGCATAAACAGTCCAGGACGCTTTAGAGCAGCCCAGGAGTGCTTAAAGTGCGTGACTGGAAAGCGACTCAGATCTGCTCGCTCTGGTTTGGGAGGGCGAATGGCTAATTTGTGTCATTACCATCATGTTTGTGACCATCGGGTTTGGGGGGGCTAATCTTGAGCTTGGGGGGGCTAAGCCCCCCCCAGCCCCCCCCTAATTGCGCCACTGCATTATATGAATATTCTCATACGAACATTATTATAATGTACCCTAAAAATTGTTCTTTCGGCTAATATCTCTATCAAGTATTAAGAATATACCTACCAAGTTGTGCTGAGAAGTTTATGTAGGTAAGTACCTACCCGTGATAAGAATATTTCCATATTGTTCACCTAATTATCTAAAGTACCT